CTGAGACCTGGGTCAGTGGATTTTAATATGCAAATCCTGTTCAAGGACCGACAGTTTGTAGACTCTTATTCTTTACATTTTGGCCATTTGAGACCAGTGTTCCTGGCACTCTGTTGCATGTGGGAACTTCACTGATGAGACTTGAAAGATGCATTAGTGTTCTCTTCATCCCTTTTTCTATGTTCCCTGAGCCTTAGGTGTAGAAGTTGCATCATAGATGTGCTCCTTAGGCTTGGGCAATTGACAATTTCTGTGTATAACCAATTGTCGAACTCTGTAATAGTCTCTGTTGAAAAAGAAGCTTCTTTAATGAGTGGTGACTGGGATACTTGTCTGTAAATGTAAGGATCCGTATTTTGCACATAGTAAGAGACTACATTTGCCTAGGGATGTAAAAACCATGGGGTTTTCTCTAAGATCTAAGACCTCTCCAGACATGTGCATTTGGCTATGTTCATAGTGTAGTATACATGAGTTTTCTCCCACTGAGTGGGTTTTAAGTCCAGTTAGGTAGCTGTTGATTATCCCCATTTTAAAAGTGCCACTAGTACCATCCATGTGGTTTGCTATGCCAGTCATTGATGTGGTTATTAGGCCTTGAAGCTGGGGTTGGAGCATTGATTGATTTTCTCCCTTACCAGCTTGCATAGTGCTCTCCAAAGTTATGATTGCTAACCTTCAGGAGATGTGGCTTCCAGGTAAGTTCCAGCTCCATTGCCCCAAGTCTTGTGTCCAAAGTATGTCCTGTCTTGAGCAATAGGGTCTTACCTTCTGTGGTGGATAGCTTTAGTGTCAACTTGACATACCTGGATTGAGTGAGCCTCAATTGGGGAATTGCCTTCATTGGACTGTCCTGTGGCCATGTCCATGGGACATCTTGATTGTTGAGTAATGTGGGAGGGCCTAGACCACTGTGGGTGTTGCCACCCCTGAGCAGGTGGGGCCTATGTTGCATAAGAAAGCAGGCTGAGCAGGGGCCAAGGGAGCAAGCCAGTAAGCAGCATTCCTCCATGGCTTGTACTTCAGCTCCTGCCTCCAGGTTCCTGCCCTGAATTCCTACCTTGGGCTCCCTGATGAACTGACCTGGCAGATGTAAGAGAAATAAATCCTTTCCTCCCCAAGTTGGGATTGGTCAGAGTATTTTGTCACAGCAATGGAGAAACAAACCAGGACATCTTCAAGTTCTGAGAGGCAATCAAGGGCTGTGGCAGTAGCCTGTATAATTTTGGGAGTCTCTTAGACTACTCTGGCCAATAACTCAAAGGAAGTTTTCTCCTGTCTGGCACTGTTTCCTGTTATGTAGCCTTCAGCTATACATATGGACTCATGTAGAGATATTTTATGTGTAATTTTTAGTATGTTTCTGGAGTAATATGATTCCCTCTGGTTTTATATACTAACTAGTCATCATTTCTCTCTCCTCTCACCCTGTCACCCTCCACACCCTCTCCATTTAAAGTATCCCAATTTTCCCCTTTTCCCTCAATAATTCCAGTCTGCTATGGTCCCACATCTCTTGAGCTCCTTTTTCCCTTTTATCTCCATATTTCTTTGTGTATCCCTCCTTCTATCCTTTCCATTTAAGTACCCCCATTTTGCACATTTCTCCTTTAATAACACCTGTCTCCTACTATTTTTCTCTCATGGATTCCTTCTTTCCCTTTACCTCCCTGCCTACTTTCCATTTTCCTGATTCCTGCAGTTACATCAGGATATATATTCATATATAAGAATTTGGTTCCAGGATACACAAGTGAGGGAGAACATACGTTGTTTGTTTTTCTGAGTCTGTGTTACTTCACTTAGTATAACAGTTTCTAGGTCCATCCATTTACCTGCAAATTTCATTATTTCGTCTTTCTTTACTGGTGAATAGAACTCCATTGTGTAAATGTATCATATTTTCATTATCCATTCATCAGCTGAGGACACTTAGGTTGCTTCTTCCATCGTTTAGCTATTGTGAAAAGAACAGCAACAAACACGGATGTACAAATATCTCTGCAATACACCAAGAAATGGTACAACTATGTAAAATGTTAGGTTAGTTTTTGAAAGAGTACTTAACACTGCTTTTCATAGGGTTTTCATGAGTTTGCAGTCCCAGCAGCAGTGAATGAACATTCCCCTTTCTCCATATCCTTGCCAGCCTTTAGTATCATTTGTTCTCTTGATGTTTACCAGTCTGACTGGGGTAAGATGAAATCTCAAAGTGGCTTTAACTTGCATTTCCCTAATTACTAAAGATGTTGAACGGTATTTTAGATGTTTCTTAGCCATTTTTATTTCTTCTTTTGAGAACTCTGTTCAGATCGTCAGCCCATCTTTTAATTGGGTCGTTTGTTTTCTTGATTCTTTGTTTTTTGAATTCTTTATATAGTGTCAATGTTAAACCTGTGCTATATGTGTCACTCGTGAAGATTTTCTCCCACTCTTGGTATTTTTTCACTTTCTTCCTTGTTTCCATTGATTTATGTGTCTATTTTGTGCCAATACCATGCTGTTTTTATGACTATACCTCTGTAATGTAGTTTCAGATCTGGTGTAGTAGTCCCCATAGCATTGCTCAGATAAACAAATATAAATCATTCATTCCCTTGTGTCAAATAATTTCCTACATCCATTAAAGGTTTTCACAATAATTTTCATAGTACTAGCTATAAATGAAATGTGTAAAATTTAAAATAAATTAAAAGAAGGTAGATAACTGTTGCAATATTTTTTCAAATTCTTACTATTTTAATGTTTTTGTAGTGTAGATTGTTCTTTAATGATATCTAATTTTTTGTGATAGATTAAATGCAGTATATTATACTTTGAACTGATGTCCTTTTCTCCTTCTCCTTCCACTCCACTGATTATCAAGAGTCTTTATACAAAATAGCTTATTGCAATGGATGATTACATGTCTAAGTTGAACACTAGCTCACTGCCGACTATTATTACAATTCCATATTTATTTTTTTCCTTTCCACTGTGGAAATGAAAGCCATATTTGTTTGAAATGAGCTTCCTACATTTTATGGATGTGACTGGTTGTGAATATCAGCCATTTAAAACATAATTTCTTTAATAATTCTGTGACTCTCACTGATTATCATTTACAAGGGTAGGCTTCTGCCATGTTGATATACTTAAGTATGAAGTGGAGAAACCAAAGACTATGGAATGTAAAGAAAAACATGATTTCAACAAATGGTATATGTGGGCAGGGTATAGACCTCAGTGATGTAGTGTTTACCTAGTATGTATAGAGGCCCAGGTTTCTATCCCCAGTGCTGTAACATAGGTGTGTATTGTTTCTAATGACTGTTTCACAGAAGTTTCTACTTATTTATTTATTTATTTATTTATTTAAATTTATGAAATTCTTCAGCAATACAAGACATTTATTTTCTTAACCATATCATCTAGTAAATTTAAAAACCAAAAGGAATAGCAAGATATTTGATAGAAAACACACAGTCTGAAATTAAACTATAAGAATATATATAGGGATTTTAAAGAAGAACTCGTATATGATTGGAAGATTTCAAGAGAGCTAGTTATTAAGGGTTCAAAATAGTGGTTTGAGCCATGAAGGCTTTGAGCAATGATATTATTTCCTCCTTGGAAGAAAGACTAAATAAGCTAACACAGAAAATACACGCAGGGCTCCAGGAATGATCATTTGTCTGATTTTATTGGTACATGTGGTATAAATTCTCAAGGTGGATTGTGGGTATATGAGAATATCAGGCTAAACTATTTAAATGTGTTAGGTCTTCCAGCGAAAATTTTGGACTCAGTAGTGTAGTTGAATGCAACTTAATTTTATATATAGAATGTTCAACAGCAACAAATGAAGTTGTACAGACCCTACTTTGAATCTAAACTCTTGTTTTAAAATAAAGGTAATTAATGTTAAAAGATATTTTTGTCACAGACAATAAGAAGGAGGGAGGAGAATCTAGAGAAAGCATTCTAGAAGTGGAGCATTTATGATTGGGTGCTTGAAAGTCAAACTAAGCTCTCTAACATGTACCTTCTTGCCTTCCAGCACATATGTGATTTAATAATTTGCTTTATCCCAAGCCTTCTCAGTCACTTGGGTCCCTCAACATAGGTTTTGGAACATTCCAAAGATAATATTTTACACCCCCAGAATCAGTTTCCTTATAATCCATCTACTGATATAATCTACATTTCCTCTTGTGGTCTGTTCAAATAGCATCTTATCAAAGAGGTTGTGGGGGCATGCGTGGGGAAGGGGTCCAAAATTTGATTAAGAACTGTTGTATAAAATGTACAAAAGCTCAATAGAACAATTTTTTTAAAAGATTTTCTCTGACCTCATATTAAAAAACAGCATCCTGGCAGTTTATCCATTTAGGAACGATTATTTCTTTCATGGCACTAAAACACTGAAGCTGATATAATTGATTACTTCTTTGTTGTCTATCTCCCTATTTGTAGAAGGTAACCTATATGAGGATAAGGGTTTAATTTTATTGCCTATTACATCTCAGTTCCTTGCATGCTTTGTACCCTGATGGTGTTCAACAATTTTATAAACTGAATAGAGTAAATGAAAAGGTGAAAGAGAATGGAGGGTCAAACAATGAAGCTAGTATTTCAAGTTTGAAGGCAGTCAAAGGATAATGGTGTTATTGAGAGAATGCTGAAGAGGGGAGGAGGAGTTGGGTTAGGGGAGTAAAAATATAGGAAGATAAATTCAGCTCACAAATTCAGGCTTAAGTATGTAGTGCTGGTGAATAATCTAATGCAGTGCTGTGTAATGAGGAAGGAAAGTGTGAAAAGAAGTCTGGGATTTAGGTCAGGATCTTAAGGTCATCTACATAGATTCAGACCTTGAATCAGAGGGAAAATAAAACAATTGAAAAATTATAACAAGTATTAAGGCAGGATTATCAAATATTTCAATATTTGAAAACATTGTATTTTTATCACATGATGTATTTAGTGTATTAAATTACTTATATCCTCTTTTTATTTCTTAGTTGGGTTAACAACTTTGGCCATGAAGGTCTTGGACTCTTATTGGATTTGCTGGAAAAGCTTCTGGACAAAAAACAGTAAGAGCAAACATTTAGAATATTTAATCCACATATAAAATTTTAAGCATAGCATAATATTTCTTTTTCCTTATCTACTTAGGCAAGAAAATATCGACAAGAAGAATCAGTATAAACTTATTCAGTGCCTGAAAGCATTTATGAATAATAAGGTAAATGGTGATTATTTCTCCCTCCATTACAAAAGGGAAGAATTTTCATGATGGTATCAAAGTATGAGACAGATAAAACAGCGGGTACTTATTCTAATTCTAAAAGTGTCTATATAATGCAGATCATCATAAGTTCTATTTAAATGTTATGTAAAATAGACTTTATTCCACACAATATTTGTTGGAAGGTTTTGCAGCTACACAAACAATATGAGTTTCTTTCTCAAATTAATTAATTCATTCTTTTGTGTTGTCACAAAAATTTCAGTATGATAAGTTGAATATAATTTTCATACGGAGAAGTTATATTACACTGAAGAACAAAATTCAGGGATAAGAGTATGGTTTGATTTCTTTTGTAAGAATGTTATAAGGTTACAATTTCTCTTTTGTTTATGTTTAATTAATTCCAGTAATTTAACTTGTATAAAAGGAATCTGTGAAACAGCATGTTTTTGGTAGATGTATAATACCAGTTACATTACAAAATACTGTGTGTAATTCAGACCTTTTTGTTTTATAAATGATATGCTTTATAGACCTACACATAAAATAAGTTTAACTAATTA